CTTATCTATCTACAATTAATAATAGCCCCGGTGGCCGAATGGTTAATGCGGCCACCTGGTAGCGCCTTGGCATGGGAAACCAAGGTGTGTGGGTTCGTAACCCGCAAGGGATACATTAAATCCTGAACTCAAGCACCTCAGGTTCCTAATAAATACAGAGGTGTACAAATCGCTCCAATAAAATCGCTCTATGTTCCTGGGCTGAGAAGTTATTATCGCATGTATCTAATTGTCACTCCTTTGTATTTCCTATGTTCTTGTTATCTTGGCGTGGTCTTAACACCTGTATTTCCTCCTGTATAACCAACACTTGGCCTGTATTTAACATCACGCAAGGACTCATCATAAGCTCCGCTTGCATATGAGTATAATGAAAGAATAATAATAATAATAATAATACAATTAATAATAAAATCTTTCAAATACTTAGTATATTAAATCTCAGAGTTCTAAGTATATAATCTTTATATTAAATACTGAAAGAGATCAGATACTGTGATATCTAATACAATCAGTTACAGATCTGATTTCATGAATGAGAGTTCTGTAAATCAGATACAAGAAACATTTATATTAAACACACTAACAGAATGTAAGAAATCAGAATGAGTGAACATCATAATCTCTCACTTGAAGAATGATAAAATGTCAGATAATAAGTATCTTATGAAAGTAGTAGAAGAGATACTTCTGAACTTCAAGCTAAGAAAATTAAAAAACAACATTGTGCTTTACTGCAATCTAGAATATATAGAAGCTCTCTATCTAGAATCTTTATCTAGACACAACTTAATAACTCACATATACAAGAAATTCAGTCACTTAGAAAGCTCTGAACTTATGAGTGTACTCAAATCAAGAGTATACTGATCAAGTATGACTAAGAACATTCAGACATATACTTACAAGTGCTTGAATTGCCAGATTGTGAAAGAATCTAAGAAAGAGTTAGAATATGAGAAAGTATAATATAAGATGAAGTGTATAATACAATTATTTAAATAATGAAAGATGAATCTCATAGACATATTACTGTAAATACTAAATGAAAATTGATAAATAATCACTGCTATTGATTACACTACTGACTGATCAGTTATGAAAGTAGTTTCAGAGATGATAGAGAAGATGATAACAAAGTTTCTATATAATAAGATCTATATTAACTATGAAATACTGTGTGAGATTCTAACTGATAACAGTGCAAATCTCATGAGAGAAGCAGTGAGGCATTTCATAAGCTAATTACAGATAAGATAGTGTAGAACAATATTATATCATCTGCAGATGAACAGAAAGATGAAACACTTGAATAAAATCTTGAATAACATGCTGATGAAATATCTAGTGAGCAAGCCTACAAGATTATGAAATGAATATCTCAGTCAGATGCTATTAGTCATGCAAATTTAGTAATATGCAGTCTTCAAGCATTTATCATTCTATCTGTTGTATGAATTGCATCCGCGCATTCTGAAGAATGCTTCAGAAAAGATGAGAGAGAAAACAGCAGTTGCAGATACAATAGTTGCAGATGTAGCAGTCACAGATGTGAAATCAAGATTGAAAGAGATCAGTCACACACATGTAAAAGCTAATAAGTTTCTTCTGAACTGAGCAATTCAATTGAAAAGAATATAAGACTCACTAGTTAAGAAATCAAGTCTCAAGATGAGAATATGAGTTCTCATACACAATGAGAGTTCTGAGAAGTTTCAATCTAGATGATTTGAGTTATATAAAATACTTAAATCACATTCTCTGAGAATGTACACATTGAAAGAATCAGAGAGACAGATCTTATATAACTTAATAAATGATTCATAACTTATGAAAGTAAAGATGTAAGATCTGAGTGAATTATAATTATCTACAGCACTATTATCAGCATTGAAAAAGAAGAGACTTATAATTGAAAAGTCTTACAAAGTAAGAGAAATCATAGACACTTATGAATTAGATGATCTCACTTATTTCAATCTTTTCATAATTACAAGAAAAGAATGAGAAGCAATGAAGAAATCAGATGAATATCACACTTCAATAAGTGATAAGACTGTAGCTGATTATACAATAATGTGTCACAGACAGCAGATGCAACATAGTAAAGAGCAGTCTCAAAGTAGCAGACTTGTATATGAATTAGATCATAGAAGAAAAAGAAATTCAGAGTTGAATTCAACTGTTTATATCAGTTCAATCACAGAGATCACAGAGAATGAACTATCTGAAATATTCACAGATACATGAGATTAAGTCATCTTGATCTCTGAGAATACTCAGAGATCAGATGAGGTTAGTTTCAATGAACTGTTTACTGTAGTGATCTGAGTAGGCAAAGAGAGACAGTATAATGTGTGAGACAGAATTATAAAAGATGAAAGCTGCTGAATCTAGTCATTAAACACTGTATTATATAGAGATTGTGTAAGAGTAGTGACTAGCAGATAAAGAAAAAGTGTAAGAAAAGAAAAGAGATAATAAATTAATCATCAATTATAAGAGTCAGCTGTAAAAGACAAATGTTATCATACACATCTCATTCATTTTCATATGTCACATATTTAATCTATTTTCAACATCATGCCATCTGAAAAAATGTTAAAAATAAAGAAAATCTTAAAACTTGAGATCTGTAAGAGATTTAAGAGCTGTAAGCTACTCTTGTAATAATATTATACATATCTCTGATTTCTCTATCACTCTGTGTATGACATTAATGTCATTTGTCACAAGATTGACTGAAATGTTAATATAGAAATGCGCATGTGTACATGTAGAGAAATTGAAGAAGAGTGCAGAATCTGCAGAATTAGAAGTCAAGATAGAGAGAGTAGAGATAAAAGAAACAGAAGAAGAAGAAGATACAGAACTGAATAAATAATAGTAGAAGTCACTCAGAGTCAAATGCTTATAACTCAGTGTATGCACAATCTTTCTCATAGAGAAGAAAGAGAAAGTGATGAAAGAAGCTTAAGAGTGAAAGAGAGTAGTCTCAGTGATATTATCATCTTTAATTAGAATGATCTCTGATGCCGCAGTAACTAAGAATCATTATTAGTATATAAAAATCATAAAATCAGAGATAAGAATAGTTACTGAATAAACACTCACTGCTCTTAGAGTTATATGCATAATTACAACATGCACAAGACTTCTCAGAAAGAGAGAGAGAGATACAGAGAAATACAGAAAGTAGAATACAGTATATAAATAGCTTATTCTTATAATAATATTTCAGACAGAGTATACAAGTCTCATATCTGTAAGTGTAAAAGAGTATGACATCTGTGTTTCTATTTCTGAAAACACAGATATCTTTCATCTGTATTATGAAGTCAGATGACAGATGTCAGAGAATAGATTAATATAAATCTATCATTTCAAAGAAATTCATCAGAGTAAATATCTCTGTAATATTGAACTTTATAGTTATAAAAAGCTTCTTGATATCTGTGAATGTTATAACTTTGTACACAGTAAAACTCATAATAATTTCTTCTAAGAACAGAAAAATCAGTGTCAGAAAGAAAAGATGAAAAAGAAAAAGACTTATAATTTCAATACTGTTAAGAAGAGAGATAATTCTCTGATATGAATGAATAATTATCTCATTATAAATATTTAAAATAAACATAATAATCAGTGTCTGTGATCAAGCTTCAGATAGTTGTATTATATATAGTCTTTATACAATAAATTGTTCTAAGAGTTGATAAGAAGAATGAGAGTGTATATACTGAGAGATGTGATTTATTAAGTCTATACAATATCTTCTTGAAATAGAGAGAGCTGATAATAAAAGCAGAGATGATAAAATCAGAAGTAGCAGAAGTAAGAGTCACGGGAACAGAGATAGCGGGAGAGGGGAAATCAGACACAGAGACAGATGTAGAAGATTGAGAGAGAGCAGCAGAGAAAGAAACAGAGAGAGTAGAGAGAGATATAGAAGACTCAGTCACATATAATACAGATAATTTCTTCATTATTATGTTCTTCAAGTTCTCAATCAATGATTCAACATTGAATTCACTATTATCAGCATCAGTGAACACAGATCTGTCAATGTATGAAGATTCTATATAAATAAAAACAAATATATCAGCATCTGCATTTATGCAAAATTATGTCAGAAAAGATGATCAGAAACTCACTGAGAAGAAAAAATAATCAAGAGTGTATAAGAAGATGAAGAAGATGTGTCATTTATAATAGTATATTCTGATAATTGTTAGAAGATAAACAAGTTCTGATCATGTTTCACAATGCATTACACTTACTGCTAATGAACTGCCTGATATGAGCACTATGATAACACTTATTATGAGAATGAAGAGCTATTGCCAGAAATACATACAATGTGATAGATGAACAGATAGAAAGAGTTAAATAGAAGAAGAAGTAGAAATCTGAAATGATAATAGTATTCAATAATGATGATAATGAAGAAGATAATTGAAGAATGAGAAAAGTTAGTGAATGAGTGATGTAATGTAGTGAAAGTTTCTTTATAAGAGAGTATACAGAATGCTAGCTGAATCAGAAATAGATCACATAATTATAATATACTAAGTGATGAGCTAATCCGTATGAAGCTAGAGTGTATGACATGATTATGTGAGCATGACTGAATCTGATGAGGGAGAATGTGGTTCAGAAGAACATATAACTGTCAGATAATAATGCAGCCGCTTCCGAACTACTAGCATATGAGTGTAAAGAAGGGCCATAGCGGCCACTAATTAATTTAGTGTACGATATTACAATATAAGAAGCCGGCGTACGCCTGTAATCGTACGCTGGCTTAAGCAAGCTTTGAATCATAATATAATACACAGTGTATTATAATATACTCAGAATTCTCATTTATATTATAGAATAAGTATTCTATTGAATCAAATCTATTATCAAATCTTTGTATATAAGATTTGAAGTAGTCATGTTCTAGTTTCAGCTGTATTATAGATGAGAATATTTTCTTTTTATATTTAATTGAATAAGATTTTCACTCGAGTTTTATTTCAAATCTTGAATAATGTATACTCTTCTTTTATTTCTGTTAGCTTTCATTTTACTTATCTAAATAAGATTCTTTTATCTTTGTCTTTATAAAAGATCAGAATATAATTTTTTAAATAGATCTGCTTAATTCTGAACTCTTCTTTACAGCTGAATCAGTCAATTCATTATCATGAATATTTATATAAGTAGGAACTTAGTGTAGATGAATTATCAGCTTTAATATTCTTCTTTTTTGAATTTTTAAAACAGAGTTTAAAATCAGTTCAAGATTCATTTAATCATTATAAATCTGACTATTTCTAAGTCTTTTTAAGACAGCTTAACTGTCAGAGAATATTTATATCTCTATTAAACTATTTTCTCTTTTATAAGATTTTATTTCAATAAGTTTGAAAGCTTTTACTATTATAAATAGTTCAGTATCAAAGACTTCAGATTCACTGTCTAGATTTCAGAAATCTGAGATAAAATTAATCTTATCTTCAGTATAAGCAATGTCTGTATCTAATCTATTCAAATTCTCATTTTTTGAGCTATCTGAACAAATCAGAATAGAGTCTTCTATATTAATTGTAGAAATTCTCTTCAAATGCTGTTCATATTCTTTCTCTTTAGATAGTTCACTTATTTATAAGTCTATAAGAGAATTAAGCTTTTCTCTTCAGAGAGATATCTTCTCATGATCAACTTTTTCAATATTTAAAGAAGAAAATTAATCTTTAATCAGTGAGTATAGTCTATATAGTTGAGAAGACATTTTCTTTGAAGAATTATTTTCATTTCAATCAAGAAATCTATTCTAATTCAGTTCCTTTTCAGAGTTAATTAATGAAAATGATAAAGAGACTCTTTCTCTGATTATATAATTTAAGCTCATCTTTATAACACTCAGAGCATAGTTTATACAGGCCTTTTCAAATCAAATAGTAGAAGATGAAATTGAAGCTTCAATCTTCATTGCTTTAATAGAAGATGATTTAAATACTTTTAGAATTCTTCTCAAAGCTCTGTTTTTGTAACGTGGTGGAACCGAAGCGGTGGCTAGTCAGCGGCGTTATGTAGAGGTAGTTGTTTTGAGAAGCTGTATAAGTGAGCTTGACTATCTTGCTTGAATAGCGAGCTTGTAGACTACAGAGTTATTGTGAGAATATCACAGATATGATACTTAGTATACTAAGAAGATTGTATAAGACATGCAGTAACTCTTGTGTATATTTCAGTAGAAGAAAAAGATGAATTGCTGACTTCTTTGATAAGAAGCCAGCATCTAGCTATTCTATATAGACAATGAGTGAATACTCTTCTCTCATTTCATGAGTGAGAGTAGCTGAAGTGATATCTCAGTGACATCTCATTGTCAAGAAAGAGTAATCTGCTGATCTTGTATAGAAGTAGAATTCTTATATTCATCAATTAGATCTTTCTATAATATATTTAAATGATATTATCAGGTGATTGAAAACTAGTTCAGACAGAATGAAATCATTCATATAAAAGTGATAAGCTGTGTGAAACCACAATGAGGTCTTGATATGACTGAGAGTGTGACAATACTCTTCTCTTTAAGAACATAGTCTTGATACTCTTAAGATTACTGAATTAGAAATTATCTTTGTTATATAGCAACAGTTGTCAACTGATTAACAGTGTATATACTGTATAAAGAGATAGATGAGTTGTTCTACTGACTGTGTAGATCTTTCTTTTTTCATCTTCATTTAAATTAAACATGTGATAAGTGAGTTTCTTATATATTAATTTGAAATGTGAAAAATATAATTAACAAGTGACTTGCAGATCTTTTAATATATTCTGTTCTATATATGAAATTCTCTGTAAAAGTGATATGTTTTAGAGACAAAGCTAACAGTAATAACAGGATTTTTTTGAAAAGATCTCTCTCTTCTGTGATACATTTTTCTCTCTCTTTCTCTTATCTGCAATAGTGAGTGCATGAGAGTATCATTCTTGAAGAATAGTAGAGAGCTTATTCTGATATTTTCTAGTGAGTAAATGTCTTTGTGATGCAGCAGCGGCCTTCATGATTATCAAGAAAGTCAGATTGAAGGTGAAGATAATGATGTCAATGAGTCACAGAAGCACTGCTTTCATTGTTACATCTTCTTCTTCTTCTACTTCTTTTACAGCTGTGATGATAGTCACTGTGCCTTGCAGTGAGATGTTATCTCTTCTACTGATTGATTTGTCTGTGTTCAGTCTGTTCTCTACTTCTCTTATCACTGTTGCAACACTGTCTCTCTTCTCAGTCAATACAGTGATGTATGACTCTGTGTGATCATTTAAAGAGAAATCTGAAGAGAGCTTGATTCTGAAAACAGTGACTCTGAGAAGCTTAATTCATAGTCCTTCTTCTACAGCATGTCTGAGCCCTGCTCAGAATACTGTTAAGTTGAGTCTGCAGAATCTCACAGTTTCTTTATCTTCTCTCTGTGAGAAGGCTTCAGTGCAGTCTCTGACTGATACTGTTACTTATCTACACTATATCAAGCAGCTGAAAAAGAGAGGAATTTTATACACTTATCTCTTCTCTCACTTCTATTGTTTCTGTTATATCTGTAACAATAACTTCTGTCTCTCTGTAAGTATTATCTCACAGAAAGACATTGTGTCAGCTCTGATAAGAAGTCTAGATACTCAAGCAGTACAGAGTGAGAATCTCAGAGCTTCAAGCATTGATAAATTTTATCAAGACTGAGAAGATCTTTCTTACTTATCTGTAAAAGAAGATGAAAGTATGAGTCTCTGAGATGAAAAAACATCTCAGAATAACTGATCTTAAGAAGAGATCAGTCAGTACTGCTGTTAAAAGCACTGCAGAGATCAATCACTGATTAAAGAGAATCTCACTTCAATTAAAGCAGATGACTGAGATGCTTTATAAGTTGATAAATTGATATTTTTATGTATTTCTTATACTCTTCTGTAGTATCACAGTACTAACTTCTCAACAGACAAAGATATCAGTACTGAAGACTTCAACAGTGAAGAATGAGTTTAATAGAGATATAGTTATTAATGAGTAGACTCTGATCTCTCTTTTTACTTTTTCAGCAGGCTGTGATTCTATTAGAATAGCAGCAGTCTGTGAATTAATAATATTAATCTTTTTATTGATTCTCAATATCTCTTTTCTCTAACTACTTCAGGAATTTTACACTTGTATAGTCTCATTAAACTTCTAAAAAACTCTTTGAGAGAAGATAGAAGAAGACTGCTATAGAGTCTATAAGATGCTGACTCATCACTGTGAGATTATCTCTAAAAAAACTCTTTGAGAAAAAATAAGAAGTCTTAAGCAGTATTTCTTGCTTAATGTCTCTAGTATATAACAAAGCAGTCTCTACTAGCTGTCTCATAGCTTACAATCTCTTTCTCAGTATTTTTCAAATGCTCAAGCAGTTCTCATGAATTCTCTGATAATGAATAATCTTCTTATTTAATAAGATATTGAAGCTTGCTGTAATATATTCACTTGTTCAATATTTTCTTCATAAGATATTTAATATCACTCTCAATCTTGATATTATTCAGTCAAGACAGCTTCACTCTGAGATATTGCTTATAGAGCTTCAAATAGAAAATGTGAAAAATAGAATGAATTGATTTCAATTCTATGAGTAATTTTAACTTATATGTCTGCTTACTTATTACTCTTGTTACTAAGAAAGATTCTAGTCATCACTCACTGAGCTTCTTATACAGTCTTATTATCTTGATATTCTTTGCTGAAAGTAGCACTTGATTCTCTATTAAGAACTTCATTGAAAGATGTTTTTAATTATAGTATTTTATCTACTGCTTCTAAGTGTAATGAATACTTTTTACTGTCTTCTCATGAATTTTGTTTAAAAGTTTCAATCTCACTTTTACTTCTGATACTGAGAGATACTCTGTTCTCTATATCTGTTCAATATTCTGACTGTTTATCTCTCTCTTTGAAACATTGTCTGTGACATCACTGAATAATGAAGAATTATATTTATAATAAGTATAGAAAGAAGATATCTTTAAGATTACATTCTTTATATTATTATA